CCAACCACTTGGACAATCCTTCACTGCTTTCCCAGGCACATTAACAGAGAGTTGGATCAGAAGTAGAGCAGCCGGGACATGAACCGGCACCCATGTTGAATACCAGCATTGCAGGTGGCAGCTTAACCCATTATGCCACCAAGCTGGCTCCCACAATGGTATGTTATTACAGTCAGTGAGCCTACACTACCTGTTATCACCCAAAGTGCTTTCTTTAGGGTTCATGCTTGATGTTGTACATTCTGTAGGTCTGGACAATTGTCTAATGACATGTTTCTACCTTTATCTACCCCTACAGAGTTCTGCTGCCTTAAAAATCCTCTGTGCTCCACCTGTTCATCTTTCCTTCTAACTCCTGGCAACCCTTATCTGTCTAAAATTTTTGCCTTTTCCAGGATATTCTACAGATGGAATCATATAGTATGTAACTTTTTCAGACTGAATTCTTTTGCTTAATGACATGCATTTAACTTTCCCCATATTTTTTAAGTGGCGCTGGCATCCCATATAGGTGCTGGTTTGAATCCCAGCTGTTCCACTTCCAATCCAGCTCTCTTCTAATGGCCTGGGAAAGCACTGGAAGATGGCCAAATTGGGCCCCTGAAACCCATGTGGGAGACCTGGAAGAAGGTCCTGGCTCTTGGCTTCAGATCAGCCCATTGCAGCTATTTGGAGAGTAAGCCAGTGGATGGAAGACCTATCTCTCTGTCTCTTCCTCTCTCTCTCTCTGTAACTCTCTCAAATAAATAAATTAAATTAAAAAAAAAAAAACAGTTACAGGGAGGGAGGGAGGGAGGGATTGTGGCAGAAAGAGAAAGAGATCTTCCATCTGCTGGTTCACTCTCCAAAAGACCACAAGAGACAGGGCTGGGTCGGTCAGGCTGAAGCCGGGAGCTTCATCTGAGTCTCCTATGTGGGTCACAGGGGCTCAAGCACTTGGACCATCCTCCGCTTCCTTCCCGAGCCATAGCAGAGAGCTGGATTGGAAGTGGAGCAACCAGGACTAGAACCCAGCGCCCATATGGGATGCTGGCGCCGCAGGTGGATGATTAACCAACTGAGCCATGTTGCCGGCCTCGCACATCTATTTTTCATACTGAGTAATAACCTGTTGTTTGGATGTGCTACAGTTTATTCATTCAGCTACTGAAGGACATCTTCGTTACATTCTTGTTTTGGCAGTTATGAATAAAGCTGCAATAAACATCTGTGTGCAGGGGTTTTCCAGCTCATTTGGGTAAATACTAAGGAGCATGATTGCTGGATTGTTGGATTAATTATTTTTAATTCTTCTGATTTTAGTGAAGTTGGGTCTGATTATGATTGACTTTTCATGTGGCTTGAATCCAGGGAGATTAAACAAATCCTGTTGACTAGAATATTTGGGCTTGTTTGACAGCTTCATTGCTGTAAACTAATAAGCTTGTGTTCCGGTGGCTGCTTCAGTCACTTGTGCACTTGGATTTGCTGGACTGAGGCTTCTGGGATGTGACCCGAGGGTATATCAAGCAGAAGCCTGGACTGATCCCTGTTGGGACCTGAGTGGCGAGGTAGTCTCGCCCAAGTATCACTTCTGTCCGCTCCCTCTGTCTGATACTGTACTTCCTACTCCAGCATCCATCAGTGGACTGGCTTAATAAAAACTTGGCAAACAACAGTTATTTTTCTTCAGAGTTATAGCCAATCACAATCAAATGCTTGCTCCCTCCATGGGTGTTAGCTTGAGAAGGGAGTTGTTCTTTGTCATATGAAATAACAGCATTGTGTTTTGTGTTCTTCTTGATAATGTCCCTCAGCTGAACTGATTCAGATCGTTTTTATTTTTTATTTTTTTTTTAAAGCTTTATTTATTTACTTGAAAGTCAGAGTTGCACACACAGAGAGAGTCTTCCATCAGCTTGTTCAATCCCCAGTTGGTTGCATTGACTGGAGCTGCACCGATCAGGAGCCAGGAGCTCCTTCCAAGTCTCCCACATGGGTGCAGGTGCCCAAGGGCTTGGGCCATTTTCTACTGCTTTCCCAGGCCACAGCAGAGAACTGGATAGGAAGTGGAGAAGCTGGGTCTTGAACCAGATCCCATATGGAATGCTGGCACTTCAGGCCAGGGAGTTAACCCGCTATGCCACAATGCTGGCCCCTTTTTTATTTTTATTAAATATTTATTAATTTGAAAGAGTTACACAGAGAGAGGAGAGGCAGAGGCCGGGGTGGGGGGGAGGTATTCCATCTGCTGGTTCACTCCCCAGTTGGTCGCAATGACCGGAGCTGCACTGATCCGAAGCCAGGAGCTAGGAGCTTCTTCCAGGTCTCTCATGTGGGTGCAAGGGCCCAAGGACTTGGGACATCTTCTACTGCTTTCCCAGGTCACAGCAGAGAGCTGGATGGGAAGTGCCGCGGCCGAGACTAGAACCGGCGCCCATATGGGATGCTGGCGCTTCAGGCCAGGACGTTAACCCGTTGCGCCGCAGCGCCTGCCCCCCCGGATAGTTTTTATTATGAATTACGTTAATTGTGCTTATTTCTTATATAAAGGCTTTGGTTTGCCAAAAAGTGTACTGGGACATGAGAAATTGGTGTGTGTGTTAGTTCAGGGCTGGTCCTTGTTAGTGGTGTTATTTTTGGCAAGTCACATTTTTCCTGAACTTGCATTTCTTATCTCTAAACTGAGATCATCTCTGTTCGTGCTTATTGAATAGGGCTTCTGTGAGAAGCAGGATAAGTTCAAGCTTTGTAGAGTGTAATATGAGTTGGACAATAGGGCCTTACCTCTTATATATAATCGGGACTCAACTCTATTCACCTTTAATCTTTTCCTCCTGCCATAAGCCCTTGCCCTGACCTCTGAGTGACACTTAGCTCCAGCTATATTGGATTTTTTGAAATTCTCTAAACAGATAGTGAAGTCTCAGACTATTCCTTGTCTCAAGTATTTTCTCTTCTGGGTTTACCTCAAATGTTGCTGTTTCTGTTCTGTCTTTCCCATATGCCTCCCCAACAAATACTGTCATTGTTTCTGTAACATCTGTACTTACTTTTATCACAAGGTTTCTCTTATCTAATAGCCATTGGTTTACGCATCTATCCTGTTAGAAAACTGAGGTGGTTTAGAGTAAGAGACTCTGTAAGTCTCTAACACATCTTTTAGCTGTATCCACAAATTTTGACATGTAGTGTTTCATTAGTCAGTTAAAATATTTGCTGACTTATATTGTGATTTATTTTTTGATGTGAGGTGATTTTTAGAAAAATGCTTACTTTCTGGGGCCAGTGCTGTGGTGCAGTAGGTTAACGCCCTGGCCTGAAGCACCGACATCCTATATAGGATGTTCGAGACCTGGCTGCTCCACTTCCAGTCCAGCTCTCTGGTGTGGCCTGGGAAAGCAGTGGAGGATGGCCCAAGGCCTTGAGACCCTGTACCCAAGTTGGGGCCCTGGAGGAAGCTCCTGGCTCCTGGCTTCGGGTCGCCGCAGCTCTGGCCGTTGCGGCCAGTTGGGGAGTGAACCATCAGATGGAAGACCTCTCTGTCTCTGTCTCTATCTATCTCTCTCTCTGCTTCTCCTTCTCTCTGTGTAATTCTTTCAAATAAAGAAGTAAAATCTTTAAAAAAAAGCTTACTAAGAACATATGAGAATTTTCTAGTCACTTTTTGTTACTTCCCACTGAATTCCTCTGTGGTCAGAGAACAGACTCTGTGATTTGTCTCCTTGTTTCTAAAATTTATTTTTTTTGCTGTGGTAAAATTCATGTAACATAAAATTGGCCAATCTAACTACTTTTGAATGTATACTTCTGTGGCATTACACACATTCATGTGCAACCATCATCATCGTCCATCTCCAGAATATTTTTATCTTCCTAAACTGAAACTCCATACCTAAGAAACAGTAGTTTCCCATTCTCCTCTCCCATTAGTCCCTGGTGTCTACCATTCAACTTTCTGTCTTTATGAAATTGACTACTTTAGATGCCTCATATAAATCATACAGTAATTTGTCCTTCTGTGAATGACTTACTTCACTTAGCATAATGTCCTCAAGACTCATGTGTGTTGTGTGTGTCATAATTTCTTTTCTTGGTATTTTATCCTTTTTTGATGCAGTAAATACATACAAAGAAATCAACCAAGGAGAAAAAATATTGCTCCAAGAAATAAAAGAAGATGTAAGAAATGAAAAGACATCACATGTTCATAGATTGAAAGATTAATATTGTTAAAATGTCAGTGCTACCCAAAACAATGGCCATCCAGATTCAGTGCAATCCCTCTCAAAGTTTCAACAGTTTTTTTTGCTTACACACTTAATTATAATACTATGGCTATGTTTCACTTAATTATTGATAATGTGGGCTTATATCTGTCATCTTACTTGATTTTTGTCTTGGAGATTGTGTTCTTTCCCTACCATGATTGAAGTTCTTAATTTAGCATTAACTTGTCCATTCCCTAAGACATTTCTTTCTTTCTTTTTTTTTTTTAAATGTCTTTAATTCCATTTTCCATTAACTTTTTTTCTTTTTCTTAAGATTTATTTATTTGAAAGGCAGAGTTACAGAGGGGCAGAGAGGGAGGGCTTCCATCTGCTAGTCCACTCTCAGATGGCCACAATGGCCAGAACTGTGCCGATCCAAAGCGTGGAGCCAGGAACATCCTCCCAGTCTCCCACATGGGTTCAGGGGCTCAAGGACCTGGGCCATCCTCTGCTACTTTCCCAGGCTATAGCAGAGAGCTAGATTGGAAGTAGAGCCCCCAGGACTTTATTAGCAGAGAGCTGGATTGGAAGTGGAGCAGCCGGGACTCAAACCAGTACCCACATGGGATGCCGGCACTGTAGGTGACGGCTTCACCTGCCATGCTACAGCACTGATCCCCCCGCCCCCAACATTTCTTTCTTCTTCAATGGTGTCTATGTGATACAGTTTCCATGATAAATAATATTTGTTTGTAGGAAAATGAAACTTTACCTCTCTCATTACTCAACTGTTTTTTCTTATTCTGCTAGGACTCTGGTTAGGAGTAGAATGGGACAACCCCGAAAGAGGAAAACATGATGGGAGCCATGAAGGGACTGTGTATTTTAAATGCAGGTAATTTTTCTTGAGTTGGCATGAAAATTTAGTCAAGATATTGTTTAATAGTTGAATGAAAAGGAAGAAATATTGTTTGACTTACGGGATAGTTATAATGTATAATTCAGGTATTCTAAAATGGTACTTTTTTGATATTGCCTTAACCACTGTTGGTTGTAGAGGTTTTAAAGAATTCTGGCTCAGTGTTATAAATGGGGTTGCTTTTTTTTTTCTTTTTACAGTTTTTAAAAATTTGAATATCAGCCTCTTATTGGTTCATTAACAGTTTATAATACATTAAGTGAATAATAGAAAAGAGAAATAGCTTATGTATCAGATAAGAATAAATTGTTACACAAAATACATAACATCTGAATAGTAGAATGCTGAGCTAGCATTAAAAAATAAGTTCTTGTCATAGAAGGATTTGCATATTGTGTATCTACTAGTATTTTTAATGGCCTGATATTAGAGAAACTCCATGAAGTTCTGATAAAGATGGTAGGAAGCTTATGGTATAGCATCTGTCTCTTTAAATATTATTTGTTTTCCTTAGCTTTCAGTTTCTCAGAAAGATTTCTTACTATGAAATTGTTTCTCCTTAGGTGTGGTATAGTGAGCACAATACTGACCTGGAAATCAGAGTCCTCTAATCTGTTTTGAACAATCTTTATTATCCTGAAGAAGACAAAATTTACAGAGCTCTAAAACTGCAAGTCAGATGGGGCCAGCGCTGTGGCATAGTAAGTTAAGCCTCTGCCTGTGGCACTGGCATCCCATGTGGGTGGTGGTTCGATTCCCGGCTGTTCCACTTCCAATCCAGCTCCCTGCTAATGGCCTGGGAAAGCAGTAGAGGATGGCCCAAACACTTGGGCTCCTATACCCACATGGGAGACCTGGAAGAAGCTCCTGGCTCCTGGCTGCAGATAGGCCAAGCTCTCTGGCTGTTGCAGACATCTGGGGAGTGAACCATTGAATGGAAGACCCCTCAGTCTCTCCCTCTCTCTGAATTTAACTCTGCTTCTCAAAAAAATAAATAAATAAAATAAATAAAAATATTTTTAAAAGATTTATTTTTATGTATTTGAGAGAGAGGGAGACAGAGAAGGTGTTCCCTCTGCTGGTTCACTACCCAAATGGCCGCAACAGCTGGAGCTGAGCTGATGGAAAGCCAGGAGCAGGGATCTTCCTCCGGATCTCCCACGTGGGTGCAGGGGCCCAAGCACATGGGCTATCCTCTTCTACCTTCCTAGGCACATTAGCAGGGAGCGAGATCGGAGGTGAAGCAGCCAGGACTCGAACCAGCACCATAGGGGATGCTGGCGCTGCAGGCTGGGGCTTTAACCCACTGCGCCACAGTGCTGACCCCATATAATAAATCTTTTAAAAAAACAAATAATTATATAACAACCGGTTTGATTGACTTCTGTAACTTTACACTATTATTTTTTAAGATTTATTTATTTATTTGAAAGAACTGCAGAGAGAAAGGGAGAGACAGGGATGGTCCTTCTGTTGGTTTACTCCCCATATGGCCACAATGGCTAGGGCTGGGCCAGGCTTAAGCCAGGAGCCTGGAGCTTTCTCTAGTTTCCAACATGGGCTCAGGGATCCAAGCACTTGGATCATCTGTTGCTGCTCTCTGAGGCCACCAACAGGAACTGGGTTGTAAGTGGAGCAGCCAGGACACAACCCTACGTCTATTTGGGATGCTGGGTCCCAGGAGGTGGCCTTACTGCTGCACCACAATGCCAGCCCCTATAAACTACTTAATTCCAAGTTATTCTTTAAAATTTATTTTTATTTTAAAAAATGTTTGAGAGAGTGATAGAGAAGAAGACAGAAAGATCATACATCTACTAGTTCAGTCTCCAGTGGCCAGGGCTGGGCCAGGCTGAAGGCAGGAGCCAGGAACTCCATCCTGTTCTCCCATGTGGGTGGCAGGGACCCAAGGACTAGATTGGTCATCTGCTGCCTCCAGTGTATGCATTTAGCAGGAAGCTGCATGAGAAACAGAGCAAGGACTCAATGGAACAGGGGAATGAAGGCCTCCCAAGCAGTGGCTTAACCCACCCCACTGTGCCACATACAGTTGCTCCTCTTTCAAATTATTGAAATTGGTATTTTGTTGACTTAAAAAACTCACACCGGGAGGTGATGGGTATTGGGCATAGTGGCTAAAATGTTGATTAGGGGGTGGGAAGTTGGCTCAGCAGTTAAGACATCTGCATCCCATATTGGAGTGCACTGTTTGGAGTCTACTCTGCTTCCAATCCAACTTCCTGTTAATGCACACCCTCAGGAGGCAGCAGATGATGGTTCAAGTACTTGGGTTCCTCCCATTAACATGGGAGACCTCAGATGAGTTCTTGGCTTCAGCCTGATGCAGCCTTGGCTGTTGCAACATTTGGGGAGTGGACCAGAGGATGGGAGATCTCTCTGTGTATATTTCTCTGTCTCTCTTCTTCTTTTTTTTTTTTTTTTTTAAGATTTACTTATTTAAGAGGTTGAGTTACAGAGAGGGAGAGACAGGAGACAGAGAGGTCTTCTGTCTGCTGGTTCACACCCTGAATGGCTACAGTGACCACGGCTGGGCAATCTGAAGCCAGGAGCCAGAAGCTTCTTCAAGGTCTCCCATGTAGGTTCAGGGGCCCAAGCACTTGGGCTATATTCTACTACTTTCCCAAGCCATTAGCAGGGAGCTGGATCAGAAGTGAAACAGCTAGAACTTCAATTGGTGCCCATATGGGATGCTGGCATCGCAGGCGGAGGCTTAACCTACTGTGCCACAGTGCCTTTCAAATACAATGAAATACAAATGAAAATAAAAAAGGTAACAGAAAATATACCAGCATCCCACATCTCAATTGCTTGGATTCATTTCCAGGTCTAGTTTCTGAGTCCAGTTTCCTTCCAGTGCAGACCCTGGGATGCAGCAGGTGATGTCTCAAGTAGTTGGGCCCCTGCCACCCATGTGGGAGTTCTGGATTGAGTTCCAGACTGCCAACTTCTGATTCTTGACTTCAGCCTGGCCCATCATGGCTATTAAGGCATCAGGGGAGTGGGCTAGCAGGTAGAAGCCCTGTCTCTCTCCCTTGTCTCTGACTCTTGTTCTTTATGCCTCAACTAAATTTTTTTAAAGTTTTAAAAAATCCAGGTCTCCCAGGAATTCCAGGTCTTCCAGGTTTCCCATGCGGGTACAGGGGCCCAAGCACCTGGGCCATCTTCCACTGCTTTCCCAGGCCATTGCAGAGAGCTGGATCATAGCAGCTGGGACTTGAACCAGTGTCCATATGGGATGGCAGTGCCGCAGGCGGAGGATTAACCCACTGCGCTACCGTGTCGACCCTATTTATTTTTTACATAACTACTTTTAATTATGATTGTGGGGCCAGCATTGTGGTGTAGCAGATTAAGCTGCTGTCTGCATCGCAGGTGTCTGTGAGTGCCACTTCACTTCTGATAGTGGCTTCTGCACTTCTGATCCAGCTCCCTGCTGGTGTGCCTGCGAAAGCAATGGAGGATGGTCCAAGTGCTTGGGCCCCTGCAGCCATGTGGGAGATCTGGAGGAGGCTCCTGGCTTCGGGCTGGCCCAGCTACAACCATTGCTGCCATTTGGGAAGTGAGCCAGAAAATGGAAAAATTCTCTCTTCCTCTCTCTGTGACTCTACCTTTCAAACAAATAAATTTTAAAAAAATGAGAAAATAGTATGACTGTGAAATAGTTTCTGGGAAAATGGTATACCTGTTTTAAGTAAGCAAAAGATGAGTCAAAAGTTGTTGTATTTGGGCAAGTGTTTGGCTCAGTGGTTAAGACATTGCTTAGGATGCCAGTGTCCCCTATCTGAGATCCTGGGTTTGAGTTCCAACTCCATTCTTAATTCTAGCTTCCTGAATGTGTACCCTGATGATGGCTCAAGTGCTTGAGCTCCTGCCATCCATCTAGGAGACTCATTGAGTCTTGGGCTCTTTGCTTCAGCCTGGCCCAGCCCTGGCTGTTTCAGGCATTTGGAGAGTGAACCAAGTGGTGGTGGATCTCTTTGTTTCTCTGCCTTTCAAAAATTAAAAAAACACCTGTTATATAAATAAAAGTATGTCTTAGTATCAAGTGGTTGATAGTGTGTTAGGCATATAACAATGAAGTTATTCACTTGGTCATTCAAATCTGCAAAAGTTTGCTTGCTTGGAGAGAATATCAGGAAGAACTGAGTGGAATGTGTGAGAATATTTACGACTCTGAGTTCACCAGTGTTCAGATTATTCGGTTAGGTTCTGCCTCTAGGGTACAACTTTGGAATAGACTGATTTCAAGGCCAACCAGTTCAGCTCACATTGATCTTATAAGACTCCAGTGCATAACAGAATAATATTTGCAGGAATTTAATCTCAATTTTATCAGTTATCTTAGACTATAGGATGGGCTTTCACCCATGGAATAGACAGTTTTATAGATCATTCGCGGTTATTCATATTTTATCATGTGTTCCTCATTCTTTTTGAAGTAATTATAACAGGACTTACTAATATCTTTCTTTGAGGGACCAAATAAAGTAATGGTCATGAGTGCAATTAAAAGCTGGTTGAGCTAAAATCCAGGCTCTGGACTACTCTTCACTTTAGATCTCTAAAAGCAGGGTGGGTTGTTGGTTTTTTTTTTTTTTTTTTTTTTTTTTTTTTCCTGTAATAGTTCGTGGGTCAGTCAGAAGAAGACTAGCAAACAGACCAGAGCATTGTGGAAGGTCTTCTGTAAGCATGAGCTTTGATTTCATGTTACTCTTTAGTTTTTGATTTCTTCTTTTCTCTTGTACAACCTAAGGTAAATATGACAATCTCCTGAGCTGTTATATTTGTAACATAATGTTGATAGAAGTTTACAGGTTTATTCAAAATTTATGACTGTGGATCAGTCTTGAACATTTTTCCTGGGTGTTTCTGTTCCCTACCTGTCATCTCTTAGGGCGCTGAGAGGTATGAATACAATAATCACTCTTCAAGTCCTCGATACCTTGTCCCAAGCC